CCCAGAGGTTGAGGCGGCAATGAGCCGTGATCACGCCACTGCACACCAGCCTGGGCAACAGAGAGAGACCCTGTCCCCAAATAAATAATATATACACAATAAAATAAGCTAATTCTGGTCAAAACAGAATTCCTCATTACCTCCTCACCCCCAAACTTATTTCTGCTGTGGTTTTTGTGGCACCAGGCAAGGACAGCTCCATCTTTGCCATTGCTAAGGCCAACTATGTCTGAGCCATGCCTGGCTCCTCTCCTCCACATCCTGTCAATCCTACCTGCAAAACCTATTGGGGCCCTACCCTTGTTACCCCCGCGCCAGCCCCATCACCCACCCAGGGCGCTATGGCGCTTCCCAAGTGGTCTCCTGCTTCTGCCGCAGCCCCATGCAGTCCACCCTCTCCTGTAGCTGAAGAGTAACTGAGGGCGTTGTTCACAAGAGATGGGAAATCCATAGACATGTCCTAGGAACTTTAATAATTTCAATCGTTGTACCATAAATGGTACTTAAAAGAATGTTATGAAGATTGTTTTTGCTACTTTATAACAAAAATGTTATAAAGTATTTGTTTCTGCTCTTCTGATAAATGAATAAAAAAGATGCTAACACTCTATTCTAACTGCTTGGAGTTAAAACTATCAAGCCCCATATAGTGAAGAAAAAGAAAGAAAATGGTAACTGAAATGACATTTCCATTGTTTTTTACTACATACAAATGTTTTGCAAAGTTACTACATTCATTTAAAAAATAACTTGGGTTATACTTACTACAGAAATGATTTTCATGGGTACACGTGGTCATAGAGATGGAAATAACTGGCCGGGCATGGTGGCTCATACCTGTAGTCCCAGAACTTTTGGAGGCTGAGGCAGGTGGATCACCTGAGGTCAACAGTTTGAGACCAGTCTGGTCAACAGAGTGAAACCTCATCTTTATTAAAAATACAAAAATTAGCCGGGTGTGGTCGTAGGTGCCTGTAGTCCCTGCCACTCAGGAGGCTGAGGCAGGAGAATCACTTGAACCCGGGAGGTTGAGGTTGTAGTGAGCTGAGACTGCGCCACCGCACCCCAGTCTGGGCGACAGAACGAGACTCTGTCTCACAAAAAAAAAAAAAAAAAAAAAAAAAAAAGGATAAAACAGACACAGGGAACTCCAAAGGCTGGGAGGGTGGTGAGGGTTGAGGACCTGCCTACTGGATGCAGTGTCCACTATTTGGGTAACGGGTGCATTAGAAGCCCACTCCCCACAGTGTGCAATATGCCCACCTCACAAACAAGCACATGTGTCCCCTTGAATGTAAACCTTTTTGAAAAAAGATTTTAAAAGGTTATTTCTTTAGATTTTTAGGTTGAACCATACGTAGACAGAGAGTTAAATTATGCATCAGCCATGTAATGAAATACTCTACACAAAAGAATGAGGTAGATCACCCTCCATATTAATATGTATAGAACTGAGAAAATCTCTCTCATATATTGTTAGTTATAAAAAAATCAAGTTCAGGAACAGTATATGTAGTGTGATCCCATTTGCGTTATTGAAACAGATGTGTCTATCACTGTCTATAGAACAGAAAAATATCTGAAAAACAACCTTACAGTGTTATGCGTTATCTTTGGAAATAGTTTTGTGAGGAGCCACGAAACATGTCCCTTTGATAAAGCAATTCTTTTTCTTTTTTTGTTTTCGAGACAGTCTCGCTCTGTCGCCCAGGCTGGAGTGCGGTGGCACGATCTCAGCTCACTGCAAGCTCCGCCTCCCGGGTTCACGCCATTCTCCTGCCTCAGCCTCCTGAGTAGCTGGGACTACGGGCGCCCGCCACCACCCCCCGCTAATTTTTAGTAGAGACGGGGGATTCATCATGTAATCCCAGCCTTTGGGAGGCCGAGGGGGGCGGATCACGAGGTCAGGAGATCGAGACCATCCTGGCTAACACGAGCAATTCTTTTTCAATGAAACTTTCTGTTCGAGGATAACAAGCACAGAGAGAGATGAGTCGTGAGCAGCCCAGGAGTGGTCAAAGTGCACCCGTGGGAAAAGCCACCACCGGGTGAGGGAACAGGACCAACCAGGATCCCCCACTGTGTCCCAGCCACGTTCCCCTCTCTCCAAAGCCACCACTACCCTAACTGCTGAGCACAACTTGGAAAAAACAAACAAACTTGGGCCTTAGGTCTGGGGTGTTGGAGGCTGAGGGGATCTGGAGCAGGGGAAGGGGAGAAATGGCAGCCCAGGACCCCCCAGCTCAGTCCTGATGTAAAAGCCATGCCCTCAGAGCCCCGTCTGCGAGGAAATGCTTCTCGCGCTGGCTCACAAACACCCCCAGCTGCACGTGCCTGGGACGGAGACCCACGGGAAACAGCCATTTCCTAGCGCCAGTGAGCAGTATATCACACACACGGAAAAATTATGGAGCAGAGTATGAAAGCTGCATAAAACTTGAAAACAGGAAACTTCGAAGACATGAAGGATTAGAGCAGGCACTTTGGGAACCAGCCCTGAAGAGGCAGGCCTGTGTTAATGGCTGAAGCAGTAGGAAAACTCGGGCAACGAGAGGGACGGGTAGGGCCTAGGAGGAGCGCCCATGCAGCTGTCGTCAGCGGACGCTCCTTCTGTGTCCCTCAGACTCAGCAGTCCCTCCGCCCGCCCTTCAGCAACTCTCCAGAGCAAAAGTGGACGCAGCTCCCCTGCTCTTGAAAACCCTCAATGGTCAAAAAGCTTTGTCAGTTCCTCATGAGCCTTGCACAGTGCCAGTTGCTGCACCTAATGTAACCCTAATAAAAACTAAGTATTAGACTGATCTACAGGAGGAAATAAGATTCACAGAGATGAAGGGAACAGTCAAAAGACACAGAACTAGTAGGCAACAGACCTGGAATTCGACCCTGTGTCAAGGTGGTTCCAAATCCAAGCTCTTTCTACTACACTGCCAGCCTCCCAGGTCCCGGAAGTGATCCTGGCCCTCCTACCCTACCCTGATGGCCTGATCTGCTGGTGTGCTGAGAGCACTGGCTGAACAGAGCAGTGCTGCCTGTGGAATCTGGCCCTGCGGAATACTGGCTCCCCACAGAACTAGGAGGCCCTCCAAGAAGGAAGGAAAAGAGGGGCCTCGGAAAGCCAGGAGTAGATGTGACAGAGCCTGACCTCAGGAAACAGGCCAAGGGCATAAACACCCAACCCCTGGGGACAGTCCAGCCAGCAAAGTGTCCCTCTCTAAATTTGTAAAACCCCCCATCCCTAAGGGAGGCAGCATGGAAACAGAAGAGAAGGCAACAGGAAGCTGCAGCCCCTTCCTTTGAGAAGAGGTGGACACTGAGCAAGAGTTTAGGGGGAAAGAAACTGAGGAAGGACAGCACTGGTCCAGCGGTTGGACCCGCTGGAGGACTCCCTAGCACCACAGCACGAATGGGGCTGGCTGCCCCAGGAACAAGAACACACACACACACCCCACCCTCCACACACCTTTTTTCTGGAAACAGACCTCATTTCTCCGACCACAGAAGTGGACACATGGCTGAACTGTTCCCTGCCTTGGGAACAAGCCAATCTGCAGAGAAGCAGAAGCGGCACAGACAGCAGAGGCAGGGGAAGGGAAACATATTGGGAAAAGAACAGAGGAGGCCTGAAGAGAGAAGGAACAATGGTGAGACAGCAGGAGGAAGGCGGGAGTAGGGGAAAGAGAGAGAAAGAGGGAAACAGAGACAGAGTATGCATGTGCTAGCTGACTGAACGTGGAGCCCTGGATCTAGGTGTTCCTGAGGCCAGTTCCATGTCCCAAGCATGGTTATGTCAATTAATGCATTCTGCCTCTCGGCTTACGACATTAGAAGTTAGGCTGTATCATTTACAGTCCAAAGAGTTACTATTTCAGTTGTACATAAAGACCCTTAAAAATCTATAAAGGCACCTCCAAAATCACATCAATTCTGGAAAAACTAAGGAAACCAAAGTTGGTTCTCTTTTTTCTTTTTTTGAGACCCGGGTCTTGATCTGTCGCCCAGGCTAGCCTCGACTTCTCAGGCTCAAGCTACCCACCTCAGCCTCCTCAGCAGCTGGGACTACAAGTGCACACCACCGTTTGTCTAATTAAAAAAAAATTTCTTGGAGTCTTTCTCAAAGAAGCTGTTCAAATGAAAGTATATTTATTTTTATTCGTTTCCTCCAGGAAGTTTACGTTTGACTGTGCGTAAGAAACAGGAAAAAAACAACCACCTGTAATTAAACTGGTGCCAAGATTAACCAGCAGCCTCCACTGCTTGTTTCCCATTATTACAGGTTGGGTATCCCTTATCTGAAATGCTTGGGAGCAGAAGTCTTTTAGACTTTGGATTTTTTGTGTGTTTTGGAATATCTGTATTATATTCACTAGTCGAGTATCCCAAATCTGAAAATCCAAAACCTGAAAAGCTCTAATGAGCATTTTCCTCCAATGTCATGTCAGTGCTCCATATGGTATTGCTCTGTGTCCCCACACAAATCTCATGTCAAATTGCAATCTTCGGTGCTGGAGGAGGGGCCTGGAGGGAGGTGACTGAATCATGAGGGTGGACCTTCCCCTTGTTATTCTGTGCTAGTGAGTTCTTGGAGATCTGGTGTTTGAAAGTGTGTACCATCTCCCCCTTTGCCCTCTTCCCCCAGCTCTAGCCATGTAGGACATGCCTGCTTGTGCTTCACCTTCCGCCACGATAGTGAGCTTCCCGGGGCCTCCGTAGCCATGCTTCCTGTACCACCTGCAGAACTGTGAGTCAATTAAACCTTTTTTCTGTACTTATAAATTACCCAGTTTCAGGTAGTTCTTTCTAGCAGGGCAAGAAAAGATAAATACAGTGCTCAAACAGTTTTAGATTTTTGGATTTGGGACGCTCTCAACCTGCGCCATTAGATTATACTCTCTTGGTATAAATTATTTAAAAACAAATCCCAAACTAGTACATAAACAAGCCAAACAAACCTATCAACATACACTTATAAACACAAACACAGGCAATACACAGACACCAGGTAAAACAGAGATGGTATTTCCGGATGGTTTAATCATGAATGGCAGTAGGCAGTGTAGGAACAAAGTTCCTAGAGCATGATAAATCTTGGTTTCTAGCACAGGATAAACCTTTCATTTCATGGTGTACATTTCACAATATTAAAAAAAACCCCAACCTGGTTTACATGATTAAAACCACGGGGAAAGGACAATGTTTCCAGGGAGCAATGACTTGCAAGCTCACCCTTGGGCTATGTGGTGGCCATCGGCAGGGCCCAGCTTCACAGTCCAATCCACAAAGCACAGGTTTTCAAATCTTTACCTCTGTGTACAAGAATGTACATGGAACTTTAAAAACGTGTGTTCCCTTATCTGTGTTGAACACTCTTAACGACGATCAGTTTGGGGGAGACGTACCCCTCCCTAATCGCAGGTAGGATCACTTCCCAAATCAATGAAACGACCGTCCTCTTTTGTGTCTTGACTTCAGGTGTCCGGCTGAACGACGGAGTCTTTTCCTTTCTTGTCGATGCAGTTTCTCAGCCTCCTGTTGCTTCTTCTGCTGTTCAGACTAAAAGAGAAAATTAAATGAGTAGAGGGAAACAGAGAAAATCCTATACCTCTTTTCTGGTAACCGTCAGGATGCCAACAGTACTGCCACCAATCTCAGACCTGCTGCCAGGAGAAACGCTGCCCACAGGCTCCAGGGGACATGGTGGGGCTGCCTGGACTCCGCTCTGACAAACGCTACCCTGGCAGAAACAGCAGGACCAAGGCCAACTTTCACCATCAATGCAAAAGCAGAAATTCTGAACCCCAGGCAAGAGAAGGGCCCTAATAGACCAGTCTACTACAAAGTAGGAGACTGGTTTTTTAACCAACACACTCACACGACCACTGTGTTGTTTTAAAAGAGGCTACAAAAGAGCCACCTTGAAGATGGTATCACTTACAGAGTGTCCACTTTCCTTTTAGAGATCTTTGTTTACAAACTAGAGCCATTCGTTTATTCCCACTGTTTTTAAAAACAAAAGAAAAAAATACTTAAATGTACTAAAAGTACATTATTAAAACACTCATTCATAGAACTTGCTCCCAAGAATTTTTAGCTGTTTCCCAAAACTCCACCTCTCCTTCCTTAAAAGCAGCAAACTGCTCTCATTAATCACTGATGAAAGCGAGGCAGACGATGCCCAAGTTCACAGCTGCAGTAAGCACGTGGACTCCCGGGCTGACTGCTGGAAACGTGCTCACTTTTGTTCTCAATGCTCATTGGCTCACATGGGAGCTGGAACTCCTCCCTACCCATCCCCAGCACCAAATGGTTTAACTACTTTCAGCAGAAATCCTTAGAAGATTATCAATGCAGAAGCCACAACAAAGTAAGAATTATACAGTTTTAAAAACACATTTGATGGTTTTGAAAATACAAACTCCTGAATGTAAAGCTCAAAAAAAAAAATTCTTAGTGGTGGAACTGCACAGATGGTAAACTGAGAAAGCATTGTCAGGGGCCTCAGTTGATAAAGTGGAAAAGCATCGCCTTATGGACACCCAGGGAACCTGCTTCACTGGGATCTGTATTTTCTTTTTCTTTTTTTGAGATGGAGTCTCGCTCTGTTGCCAGGCTGGAGTGCAATGGCACACTCTCGGCTCACTGCAACCTCCGCCTCCCGATTCAAGCGATTCCCCCGCCTCAGCCTCCAGAGTAGCTGGGACTACAGGTGACCAAGCCTGGCTAGTTTTTTTTTTTTTTTTTTTGGAGACCGAGCCTCCCTCGGTCACAGGCTGGAGTGCAGTGGCGCGATCTCTGCTCACTGCAAGCCCCGCCTCCTGGGTTTACGCTATTCTCTGCCTCAGCCTCCCGAGTAGCTGGGACTATAGGCGCCCGCCACCACGCCCGGCTATATTTTTTGTATTTTTAGTAGAGATGGGGTTTCACTGTGTTGTCCAGGATGGTCTCAATCTCTTGACCTCGTGATCCACCCACCTCGGCCTCCCAAAGTGCTGGGATTTCAGGTGTGCACCACCACGCCCAGCCAGGATCTATATTTTCTACACACCTAACACAAAACATGCATCTGTATGTTACCCTTGAGGAGAAAGTCTCCACATTCACCTCTTGTGGATATTACCCAATCTTCTAAAATTAAACAGTTGAAAGTGAGAGAATAGTGGGGAAGGAAAGCAATTTGTAATGTCAAAAAAAAAAAAAAAAAAAAAAAGATGCATTTCTCCTATTCTAAGAAGCTCTTAAACCGGGTTTCTGAATAATTCTTTAAGTCCCTTCTCTGATTATTACCATTCTTCGACTGTCTTTTCAAAGTAAATCCTATCCTGTGTATTCTGATCCTATCCCAAACTCCTCTACCGTGCTCTGTCTTGGAGGGTACCACCTGAGCCCAGGCTGCTGCCCGTCCTAACCACGGCCACCACAGAGTTGCCTTCCTTGTGCTCTGCTTCCTCTCAAATACCCCTTAAGGCAACTCTCCATGCAACAGCCAGAGGATTTAAAAATAAAATAGAAATACTATGTCAGTTCAGTCCTGTGCTTACTGAAACTGTGCAAAGTTTGGTCCTTTACCAAACAATCTCACAGCCCTCTGCTCACCTTTGAAGCACTTGCCATAGTTCTAATGACATAATTAGAGGTATATAATTTTTACCCGCTGTCTCTCTCTCCCATAGACTGAGAACTGTGGTGGCAAGAGCCATGTCTGTCCCTAGCATGAAGCACAGGGCAGGCATCAATACACACGCATTAATGGAAAACTCAGAACTCCTTCTAACACTCCCTAGCTGAGCGAGTGATGACATCACCAGGAGCCCGGTAGAGTGAACCAATACCAGTTATTCAATATTTCGCTTCTTCATGTTAATCAGAATTTATTTAAAAAGGGTTTCTTCAGGCCAGACGTGGTGGCTCACGCCTGTAATCCCAGCACTTTGGGAGGCTGAGGCAGGCTGATCACAAGGTCAGGAGATCGAGACCATCCTGGCTAACACGGTGAAACCCCATGTTTACTAAAAATACAAAACATTATCTGGGTGTGGTGGTGGGGGCCTGTAGTGCCAGCTACTTGGGAGGCTGAGGCAGGAGAATGGCGTGAACCCGGGAGGTAGAGCTTGCAGCAAGCCGAGATCGCACCACTGCACTCCAGCCTGGGAGACAGAGCGAGACTCTGTCTCAAAAAAAAGAAAGAAAGAAAAAAAAAAAAGGAAAAGAAAAAAAAGTTTCTTCATATAATTTTGGGAAATGATATGCTAAATACAGATAAACAAGGTGTGTTGGAGCTTCTAAGTTAAGGCACCTTCATGAGTCTTCAACATGGACATCAGTCCAAGGTTTTTCCCTTATCTGTCTGATAGCAAAAGTAATCTTCCAGGGTCACTATTTACATCTCCTGGAACACATGGTGGGAAGCTCTGTCAGACTTTCTCCACCAAGGTAGGAGCTTGGAGAGGAGCTTGTAAGCAGTGGTTATTGTTCTGCAGACAAATTTTAGTGCAGAAAAAGGACTAGGACTAGCCTCTCTCCCAGGGCTGCATCGGAAGGCCTTGCCGCCATGTGGCGGATCCAGGAGGATCTATGGGCCCGTTAGCGCTTCTCCCGGGTGCTCCTACCTCCTCTTCCCTACTAGTTCACCACAGCCTCCAGCACTCCTGTCACAGAGGGAGGAGAAGGACAGGTGCAGACAGACACACTCGTATCAGCAACAGCCTCAGGCTTGATGAGGAATTGTACTAAATGAAATTTTAAAATTAGATTTGTGACTGAATCCCAGTTTTACCACTATACAATCTTAAACGACATTAAAGCATAGATTTTTCCTCTTAAATTTTACTGACATTTTAGGAGATACATATGCAAATATGGGAAAAACTCAAGATTCTACCTGAGCGTATCAAACATGCAGTATAAAAAGAGACTTCTATGAACAACTGCCTGAATAAGTAAAATTTACTGAAAACCTGAACTCAAGTAAAACTGAGATTTAATAATTAAAATGTTTATCAAGTAAGGAAACAAACACATCAAACATTAATTGACACATCCATCAAAAACAGTTTCAAAGCCTCTGCTTGATTCAGTTATGAGGCCATAACTTAATTTAAGCAATTCTTCATACTTTTTTTATAAACAAAAATATAATTTCAGAGCCATCTTATTTTCATTTTACTACAAATTTTAAACTGATCTTCAACTCAGTTCCTTCCAATTTAGAAAACAGTGGGAAAAGGCTTGTATTTTCAGGTTACTGCAAAGTAGGTGCTCACTCAACCCAGCAGAGGGGCCTCTGCAGGAGCTGAGGTGGCCACACTGCAGACCTGGGATCCTTCCAGGCTGTGCTGCTCCTGCCCCATTTGACATCATTTGAGTTTCAGAGGGAATCAAGGATTGCTTCCAGGTATAAAGAAAATTGATAAGAAATTAGGAAGAGGCACAATGAGGTCCCTCTGAATGTGTATTTGGCTGATATGAGTGATAAATGTAAGAGGGCAAATTTGCTCTCAGCAAACAGAATTAACTGAAAAGCTTTTTGCACTTAGAATAATGAAGTTTTTAAAATTACTTGGCAAGCCTTCTGATGCAGGTTGGGAAAATTTTAGAGAAATCAGAGAGGAATGGGTACAGGATGTGATGAGGTGGTTCTCCAGAGATGATACACAAATGACCAATAAGCACATGATAAAATGCTCAACTCATTAGTCATTAGGGACCGCAAATCAAACAACACACCACTCACACCCACTAGCATGGCTATAATAAAGATGACAGACAGCAACAGGTTTGGTGTGGATGTGGAAAACCTGCAACCCTTATATGCTGCTTGGTGGGAATGTAAAATGGTGCAGCCACTTTGGAAAACTGTCTGACAGGTTTCTTAAAAAGTTAAATAGCTACGCTGTATGACGCAGCAATTCCGCTCCTAGGTATAGACCCAAGATAAATGAAAACACATGTTCATGAAAAAATTTACACATTCATTTTCATAGCAGATTATTACTCACTTCCCCCAAAAGAACACAACCCAAGTGTCCCTTAAAAAAGAATGAATAGCAAAATGTGTTATATACATACAATGGTATATTATTCAGCCATAAAAAGAAATGCAATTCCGATGCAAAGTTACACCACTGAATGAATAAACCTTGAAAACATTACGCTCAGTGAAGAAGCCAGTTACGAAAGACTTCACATGGAATGATTCCATTTGTATGAAATGTCCAGAACAGGCAAAGCTATAGAGACAGGAAGTAGATTAGTGGATGCCAGGGGCTGGGGGATGAAAATATGGGGGTAAATGCTAAAGGGTATAGGGCTTCTTTCTGGGGTGATGAAAATGTTCTGGAATTACATAGTGTGATGGTTGCCCAACTCAGTGAATACACTAAGAATCATTGAATTGTACACTTTAGAAGGAGCATATGGTCTGTGAATTATATCCCCCTACTACTGCTCAGGAAAAAAAAAGGGATGAAATCTTTGTCATTCTATTTGGTGACTATATTGAAGAGGACTGACTACGAATGAGAAAAAAATTTTTTGAGAAATACAACTGGATCCAGTTAACAGTAAATACTTAAGCAGTTTACTCTCCCTATAATGTGCGACAGGCATTATTACCAGTGGCTAAAAAGATGGATCTTATAAATCAATTTAGAATAGGATGACCACTGGCAGAGTAGTTTGTCTTCTAAAATGATAGTATCTGGGCAAGCTGGGTGTGACTGTCACGAGGTATCAGAACTCACCAATTCCCATTCTTCTTCAAAGTCCATATACATGCGAGGTAGCCCTACATCCTTAGAGGGTCAGGATGGGACTTTTGCTTTATAAGCCACACCTCAGGCCACAGAGTGATCCAGAAACCAAGCCAGCTGGTTCATCTCCAACAGAGCTAACTCCAGGGCCACTAAGTCCCTGTCTCCCTTGGGACACCAGTGACACTCCTGGCTCTACTGTAGTCACACACTGTGCTCTTGGCCCACCAGGGGCTCTGGTTGCAGAGAAAACGCTAGAACAGGGAACACAGCTTCCTTAATAGGGAAGAGGTATGAGAAGGCTGGTCTTAGGACACACACACAAAATACTATTGAAAGCCTATTATTCTTTTGTGAATTAAAAAATAACAATAAAAGATAACTCACCCTCTTTAATGTGAATGTCAATTGTTTGCTGCCAACAGTGGTATCGGATACACTCAACGTCCCATTTTTTGCTTCAATTTTCAAACGATCTTCAAGTGTTTTGCTACGGGAAATTTAAAAGAATGCCACATTAATCAAAATTATGTTTTAATTTACTATTTGAAACAAGTTTTGATTAGAATTGATTGCAAAGAAAAATGTTTACACATGTAAATGAAAATATCATTCACTTAACACAATAAATTGAAAGAATTAGGCGCACTCAAATAGTCATTATTCATATTCCAGAGATAGACTGTAAAACAATGACTGGCAAAAACACCCACTAATTTAATATCTTAAGTGGCAGTATCAAACACTTCAATGCCTGCTACTTTTCTTACTAAAATCAATCATATTTCTGAAGACCAAATGCAAAGAGCAATCTACTTCTGAAGCCTGTAATTGACCATAATGGTCAATGGCATTTATGATATAATGATATATTTAAACAATACACAAATTCGGTATGTGAGTATTTTAGCCACTCGTCCACCTTTTACAAAAGGAATGAGCACAAATTAAGTCCTCCAGGTCAAGTCACAGAGAAGAGCTATGATAATTCTTGTTCTTCCTTCACTCAGTCTTAACTCAGTAGACTGCAAGCCATCATCCCACAGCATGAACAGCTTGAAACATGAATCTGTCTGATGACACTGAGAGAAAACAAAAGCAATTACACTTTGGGTAATTCCACCTGATTCAGCTCTAGTCACTGATATCTCTCCAGGTATCTTCCCTTTTAGTTTCTTACTTGACTTACTCTTTCTGACATACTTTATCCCAAATTTAAATCTCATTTCATTTCTCTTTTTTTTTTTTTTTGAGACGGAGTCTCGCTCTGTTGCCCAGCCTGGAGTGCAGTGGCCGGATCTCAGCCCACTGCAAGCTCCGCCTCCTGGATTTACGCCATTCTCCTGCCTCAGCCTCCCAAGTAGCTGGGACTACAGGCGCCTGCCACCTCGCCCGGCTAGTTTTTTTTTGTATTTTTTAGTAGAGACGGGGTTTCACCTTGTTAGCCAGGATGGTCTCGATCTCCTGACCTCGTGATCGGCCCGTCTCGGCGTCCCAAAGTGCTGGGATTACAGGCTTGAGCCACCACGCCCGGCCTCATTTCATTTCTTGATCACATTTTCCAAATTTTTCTAGGCTCTCTTTATATAATCTGTGTCTCTGTTACAGTCTGCTGTGCCCTGCATTTCACTGTTATCTGTATAATTAACACAACCCCCCTCTGCTTTCCAATAAAGAGGTTAAGTATGAATTTTGTACCCGTTATATGAAACTTCACTGAATGTTATAATAATTTTTTATTATAAACTAGAACACTGGCCCTTTTTGTTAACTTGGTTTAGAGGGAAATAAACTGAATTAAGCCTAATGATATATATTTTCAGTATGCTTAAACAGTTACTTTAACTTTTCTAGAAATGGCTAAAGCAATAGATTCTTATTCCCCTGATAAGACTGAGATAGATGAGACGGAAGACAAAACAAAGAATATGGTTCTCTTCTATTCTGTTCCCTCCTCAAAAATAGTATACTCCGTCTCCTGCCCTCCGTGCCCCAAATCACATTCAACGCAGCCTGTTAAAGTGAGGGCTAAGAAACCTGACTGAAGAAAAAAAAAGTCTGAACTGTGTGAAAGGGTCTTCTTTTCCCTGAAATATGGTCTTTGTAACTAATCACTGAGGAGAACACAGCTCCTAAATGATCCCCCAGACAAAGTGATCCTTCTTTGAAATTCTGAAGCTAATGTTTGATGTTCACACCATGAGAAATTTATCTCTAGTTTACAACTTGTAGTAACGTACTAAACACACATTCTTTATATAATTTGAGACATAAAGTGGTTAGCATAAAAGTGGCACTCTTTTCTAAGCAATAATGTTATTAAGAAGCACTTTTAAAGTACTTTTCATCTTCAAAGTTCTTTATAGACTAACTAATTAATCCTTTCAACATCCCTGAGACAGAAGTATTTATCCTTTACAGATGGCAAAAAAGGGAGGTAAGATGTGAAACGACTTGCTGCAGGCCACGTAAGATTCAGTTCTAAGCCGGATTCCAGTTTCAGAATTGCTGGTTTCCAGGCAAGTGTCAGGTCATATTTGATTTACACAGTTTTGTTCAGGAAACTTGTCCATTAAGTATTCTCAATGACAAGCTTCCACATGACAAACGGAATGAAATTAAGATTTAGGTTAGCTTTTTTTCTCTTCTAACAATTCAAAAGTAAAGTGTAAACGGACTGTAGTGTGCATGTGAATTATGTGAGCCTCAGCAAATTCCTCAACCTGCTCATTTCATTCTTCTTTCTTTTCATAGCTATAAACTCTGAGGTTTCAAAGTTAACAGGGCTGCTGTGCCTATGGAGTAGCCATTCTTTTATTCCTTTACTTTCTTAATAAACTTGCTTTCACTTAAAAAAAAAAAGTTGACAGGAATTCCAAATAACTATATAACCATTGAGAGAAGATGGTATACAGAAAACACTAATTTAGGAAGAAAAAGACTTTTCCAGTCAATTGTGGGCAATTATTACTCTGTTAAGAATGATCTTAATTCCTCCATGATAGGGCATACACATTCTGGGGTTTCTCTCAATGTACTTTCAATGTGCACTTGTAAAAACTTGTTCTGTCTAGGCTATTTGGAAAGACAAGCTGAGTTTTGGAACAAACCATGGCAGAAGATCAGACACAGAGACCATGTGTGGAGATTTCTACATTAAAGAAGTTCCACTTCCCTCCCTTTGAAAGTCAGTTTACTGAAAGCGTTTGCTAACCAGCAGTTCCACAGCCTGCTTCTTGAGTGTGACTTTGGTCAGAGATGACCTAAGTAGACACTGCTGTAGGAACACCGGGAAACTCCTTATTGAACAGAAAAACAAAAGGGAGAACACCACACTGCATGCGCTTCTCAGCATGTTTCTTCCAGGACACTGGCAGGTGGCAGAGGAGGACTGCAGAACTGGCCTTTCCTCCCCCTCCTCTCCCCTCCCCCACACCCCGCCCCTACTTCTTTTCCCTGCCTAGGCTTTACTTTAGTTCTGACGGCCATGGGGGACTTTTTCATTGGTTTATAGTAAAGGATTCTAGGGGAAAATCTAATTGGAACAAGTAGATAAAAACAATCCCCAAATTTGTGATTGGTAAGAAAACAGATATAGGCTTTACAATGTTAAAAGTGGGTAGAATTACTCAGTATAGAACGTAGAAAGCTCCCAGGGGAAGAAACGAGATTATTAGTATATTTATCTTAAAATAAAAAGGAAAGTGGGCAGAAACTACAAGGAAGAAAATCAAATTAAATATTTAGATGCACCAGGAAGGTTGACTGATTTACTTTGGGGTTTTAAAATATGAACACACGTGCACACACACATATTTAATTAAAACGTAGTGCTCCTCAGATGAGAGGTTTTGAATCCCGCTGCAGGGAAGGGGCAGTGTGGGGGGTGGGGGTCATATTCATAAAGGCATGTGCTTCAGGACAGAACTGAGAAGAGTTAATTAACTCTAATTAAAGGAGCCCCCGCTCCACAGTCTATACCGGAGGGAATAAATTAGAAAATGGAGAAAGAGAATCCGCAGATAAAGGATTAAGTATTTTTTAAATTTAAGTACTTTGCTTTAAATAACTACCTCGGACAAATATTTACATATGCCATAAAGTTTACTAAAGACTTTATTTGAATGCTTTCTGTTTCCACGTGTTGCTTCAAAGGCCCTATTTCAAGAGACTGAAACTCAGGCAACCATCAAATCTGATGTCTCTTCTACAGGCATAATGAAGATTTAAAAGATTCCTAACATCCGGCGATGCTGGAGTGTGGGGAAACAGGCGGTCTGGCCACAGTGCAAAGTGCTCAAGCCTTTTTGGAGGGTGATCTGGCAGTCTCTATCACACACCCCTGCTGATCCAGCAAACTCCTATTAGGAATATACTCTAAAGAAATACTTGTCCGTATGCATACATATTTGTGACTGTGAAAAGGGTAAGAGAAAAAGCAGCAACCTAAACACCCACAGTTAGAGGAATAGTTACATAAATCACAGCACATCCACCTTATGAAATATTTATGCAGCCAGAAGGTAAGCCTACTGAACTTATAAAGAAACATTTCTAAGACTTGCTGTTAAATGAAAAGAGCAAGTTAAACGGTATAATTAGGCTGGGCACAGTGGCTCATGCCTGCAATTCCAGCACTTTGGGAGGCTGAGGCAGGAGGATGTCGTGAGGCCAGAAGTTCAAGACCAGTCTGGGCAACAAAATGGGACCCCAACTGGACAAAAAATTTAACAATTGTGGTGGCCTGTAGTCGCAGCTACTCAGGAGGGAGGGCGAGGTGGGAGGATCATTTGAGCCCAGCAGATCGAGGCTGCAGTGAACCATGATTGCGCCTCTGCACTCTAGCCTGGGCAACAGCATGAGACCCATCTCAAAAAATAACATAAAGAATATGAACCATTCACGTTAAAGAAAAAAAGCTACAGGTATAGATCTGTGAGTGTGGACACATATAGGAGTGAACGTCTTTTTAAAGGCGAGAAATATGGTGCGCACACAGCCGTGACCTCAGGAAGGGAGGTGGGGGATGGGAGAGGCTTTAACCTTCAGTCCACACTCTTAGGTATTACAATGATAACATGCCTACATAGTACTGAGGACATATTCATTGAGTAATACAAGATTCTCTTTTCAAAAATGTAAGTCTGGAATTTAATTACTTCCCAGACTAGATTTTTAAATGCTTATATTAAAACAAAGCTGCATTACCTCAGCTCTTATCCACTATCAGAGGAACGTGAGCTGAAGAGTAAAAACACACCATATTAATTAACAAAGTGGATAATGTTGCAGACATGATAAAAAGCTCACCCAAAGCTACCAAGCTACCCGGTGAAGAAGATGAGATCCCCAAAGGCAGGAACTGTCTTAAACAATTTCTAGGACCTACCACAGGGCATTTGAAAGCATTCAAATAATGCTTTCATAAACGGAACTGAAAGGCTGCCTGGCAGCTAGTATTGACTACCCAAGAAGAGAAGTTATCCCCAT